CCAAAAATACTTGAGTTTTAGTAATGCTGATACTGTACTTTTTTCCTAGCTACAGTGACCAAGATGTTAGTTTATTCCTTCATTCAATGTTACGACCCATTATGTGCCAAGTACTGAGAACACATTACTTTGCTAATGGTCTTGTGGAGGGCTGTATGGAGACTAATAAAGTAACACGGAAGCTATAAGAGATAAAGAGCTATGGTGGACTCTTTGAAGAAACTTCTAATCTGAGATATGAAGGATGAGTAGGAGTTAACTGTTTTCTTTGTAGAGGGCAGGGGGTGGGGTGGAGAGAAAACTGTCTCAGGCAGAGCCACCAGAAAGAAGAGGTTAGGATGCAAACAGGAAAATGGTGAGAGGAGAATTCCAGTAAGGGCAGGATTTTAGGACTTGAAAGAATGGATTTTTCCCTGAGTGCAGCAAGACACCATCATAGAATTGTATAAAAGACAGACATGATCAGATTTATATTTCAGGCAATTCACTCATGATCAGATTTATATTTCAGGCAATTCACTCAGATCCAGGGTGAATAGATTTGAAAAAGCCAGCATAGATTTTGGAAAAGATAGCCTGACAGCTAGTTGGGAAATGTTATATATTTTTCAGAATAAAGGTGACAGTGGGCAAGACTAGGAGGTATAGGAAGGAATGATTCATTCATCCAATAGATAACTAAGAGCTCCAACTATGTGCCAGGCACCCTAGTAAGATATCGAGGAGTCTAGTGGGGGAAATAGATTAACCAAACAAGCAACAATGACAAAATATAAAATTTTAATCATATTCAATGCCACAAAGGAGAAATATATACGATGCTATGAGACTGAGAAACAAGAGAACCTTTTCTTGTGGTTAAGGAAAGGTTTCCCTTGAGCAAGAGCCACCTGAATTAAATTCTGAAGGTTGAGTAGAAACTAAAAGGCACAGTGGTGAACAGATGGGAATAATTTTCAAGGAAATGAGAATAGCATTTACCAAGAAGCTGTAAAGCAGACAGTGAGGTAGGATGCTGAGAGCAAAGGGCAGAGTGGTTCGACTGGCCTGTGTAGCATTAAGAGTTTTGATCTTTACCCCAGGAACCAGGGGAAGCCATGGAAGTGTTTTAAGCAGGATGGGTGATAATGAAAACATCACATTTGTGGTGGTTTGAGAACATCGTTGTGTCGGCAGTGTGAAGAATGTGGGTGTGAAGTGGTTCAGTCAGGACTGCAGAAGACCAGGAAGCTGCTGGGATGTGGTTAACTGTCAAGACCGTGGGGTTTCCGGTTTGGGCTTCTAGAACATACTCCCAGTTCATGACAATGGTAACACCACATCATCTGACCAGAGGAAGGAGTTCATCTTCTTACTAGGGCAAGAACCAGGTCATCTAAAAATTATATCACACATAAAACTGTTGACAACAAAATCTCCCTTAGGGAATGAAGACTGGGGAGGGAGGAGTGTGGAAAGAGGGGCAACATTCACTACTTCAACATTTCTATATGATTTACAATGAAAATATAAATACAAGTTTAAAAAAACAGATACAGAAATCCCATCAAAATACTTATAAACGTAAGTGGGAGAGAGCCAGGATTGCCTTGTTTCATACCACCTAGGCCTGGATTTTGAGCTCTGAAGAGCCCCTCCTCCCATTCTGCTTCTTAAGACCAATCTGCAACAGCCATCAGCAAAAATGAAAGTGTGGGATCAACAACCTATAAGTGGCATCAGGAAACAAATCATCTGTGGCTTAAAAATTCAATAAATATTTCAAAAAATCTTAAGTTGTTCTTGATAACTTTTTCAGTAAGATAAAAGGCTAGAACAATCACTATAGGCTAAGACTCACTAAACCATGCTTCTTCCTCAAACAAGCATTAACCACCAAGACCCAGACAGAAGAAAGCTAACAATGACTTTAGACAAAGCATTCAACAAACTGATAGCTCTGTAGATTTGTGGAGATGAACTGTTCTTTTTCTGAGTAGATATACATTAAGTCCTCATCTAGGAAACTAAGTCTCAAGAGCTAAATATGCAAAGACTGGTGCCCAACACAGATTTACATAATTCTGGGCAACAAACTTTGCTAGGCAGAAGAGGGGGTGTCTAAGAAACTATTAAAGGTGCACTTAGCATAATCTTAAGAGATCCAGCCAGCATTAACTCATAACTGCATTTAAATGTATCTGGATGTTTTCCTTCCAATAATCCATTTGCTTTTCATTTGCATTATTCAACTGTCCTTGAGTTTGAGATTTTTACTCCTATTTCTGTCATTTGAACACCCCGTACATTTAGAACACCTTGTACTTTTTTTTGGCATCCCACTTACTTAACATAGGTGTGGAGAGTCTAAAAGGAATCCCAGGGAAAGCATAAATGAAAAATTGCACACTAAACAAAATCAGTGTTTTCTTGCTAACATATAGCAGTGACAGGTTTCATAAAAAGCATTAATTGTCAACAATTGTACAGAGCTCTACACAGCACTTTCACACTCATTATTTCATATGAGCCACATTCTCACTCTGGTGTCACAGATGCACAAGCCTGGTTACAGTCCTAACAACTTGCCAAAATTTATAAAGTCTTATCTTCTGACTTCTATGCTCTTTTTCAACCAGTGCAATAGGGATAGAATGTGCTGGAAAGGAGCAGGACCAGAGCTATCTTCAGTAAATACACACAGAGATGGCATTTACAGGACTTGGTAGAGTGTGAATGTGAGTCTCCCAAAATTCACATTGAAATCCTCATCCCCAAGGTGATGGTATTAGGAAATGAGGCCTTTGGGAGGTGATTAGATCATGAGGGTAGAGCCCTCACGAATGGGATTGGTGCCCTTATATTTAATAAAAGGGACCCCAGAGAGATCCACCCTATAAGGCCACAGATTGAAGACAGCCGTCTGTCTATGAGGAAGTGGTCCCTCACCAGACACTCAATCTGCAGCTGTCTTGATCTTGGGCTTCCTAGCCTTTAGAACTGTGAGAAATAAATTTCTACTGTTTATAAGCCAGTCTACAGCATTTTGTCAGAGCAGCCCAAATGGACTAAGACAGAACTCAGTAACGGGGAGGGGGAGCTGAGTATCCCTGGAACCCACCAGGAGACAGGCTGTCCTCTCTGCATATCTGATTCTCCTTGTCATCTTCTCACTCACATCCTTCGCCCCAGGGCTTTTCCAAGCCACATCAAGACCACAGTCTCCAACATGGCACATGAGTTCCAAGGGTATAGCTTAGAATCTCAGTTGGACTTGCAAAATTCCTGGGACACATCTGAATGACCAAGCTCCAAGGAGCTTGGTCAGCTGACTGTAAGTAAGGGAAACTACCATAATAATAATGGAAATAAAGTAAAATCATGGGTACCATTCTAGACCAATCAGGCCAGATTAATGATTATAAATGTTTTAAAGAAGTATTAAGTATTTTACTACGATGATTATACAAAAGCCCTTAAAAAATTCCAATAAAATCGTATGTTACAGCAAAGTGTTAAGTCTGGGTCGCTGTGAACCCGGAGTCTGCCTGCCACACGGGAATGTGATGAAAGCACGCTTCTACCGTGCAAAGCCAGTGAGATACTAGGGTTATTGCTGCAGTCTGGCTACTTAAATATACCATGTAACAATTATATTCAATGGGAAAACAGAAACTAATATGCTCCTTCCAAAATGCAACCTTCAATAGTGGCCCATGGTCTACTGAATGAAATCCTCAAGATGGTACTAAAGTTTCCCCATGACCTGATCCCACGCACTTAACATTCTAAAAATTTCACTGACCCTCTGTTTCCAAAGCACCTGGATCTCTTCCTCCCTGCCCCTCACAGCACTAATCACAATGTAGTGTAATTAGTTGATTTTTTATCAGTGTCTTTTCCTAGATTTTGAGTCTCCAAGAAGGCGGCAGTTGCCTTTCTCCTTTGTAAATGTATCTTCAACACAATAATATATGTTAGGCATATAAAGGATGCTCAGTTAAGATTTTGCTGAATGAATAACAGTGTGCTCCTAGGTGTTCACAGGCCACTGAAAAAACATGGAATTTTAAAGCCCAAAAAGTAGGGAAAAGCAGTGCTCATTTTATCGAAACATATTCTCTTCTCAAATAAGTTGTCAATCCTGGAATATCCAACTGCCTGGCCTAAAGCTCTGACAGTGTTACTGAAATGAAACCAAAAGCCATGAGTAAATAATATCTTTGGATTACAATTGGTTTCTAGACCAAAGCCTTTATGAAGCTTTAAAAGTTCTGACCTCCTGAAGTCAGAACTGAATTTTTTTGTCTTAGGAATCTGCAACTGAATTTTTTTGTCTTAGGAATCTGCAAAAAAATCTGCAATTTTTTTGTCTTAGGAATCTGCAAATTCCTTTTGTCTTAGGAAATCACCTCTTAGGTATTTTAAATGGTGGCAGATCCTGAATTATTTCAGATAAGAAGCAACCTTAAAAATGTAAAAATCATCACTATAACTTTTTTTTTTTTTTTTGAGACAGAGTCTCGCTTTGTTGCCCAGGCTACAGTGAGTGCCGTGGCATCAGCCTAGCTCACAGCAACCTCAAACTCCTGGGCTCAGGCAATCCTCCTGCCTCAGCCTCCCGAGCAGCTGGGACTACAGGCATGCACCACCATGCCCGGCTAATTTTTTCTATATATATTAGTTGGCCAATTAATTTCTTTCTATTTATACAGTAGAGACGGGGTCTCGCTCTTGCTCAGGCTGGTTTTGAACTCCTGACCTCGAGCAATCCGCCCGCCTCGACCTCCCAGAGTGCTAGGATTACAGGTGTGAGCCACCGCGCCCGGCCTATAACTCTTAATAATGTTCCCTTTGTCAGGGGGACATTCTCAGAGAAGCAGAGTATCTCATGCTCCTTACAAACTTTACGCTTTAATAATAGCCCTTCCATGAAATATAAAAGTATTTACATTTAACAGCATCATTCAAGATCGAGTCTTACATGTTACTTTAATAGTTAGTATCCACAAAGAATCTGGTTTAGTTATTAAAATGGCTTATTTTTATTTTTTAAAAAACCTATGATTTTACCCATTGTATAGAGATAACTGAATTTTTAAAAAGTTTCTTATGGTAAATTATCTTAAGATATGAAGAACCAAATTATTCTTTGGTTTTATTATGTGGGGAAAAACAACACACAGTCTAGTCAAACAACTTTGTGATATTTATATTCCATTGCACAGATAAGGGTTATACAAATTAGTAACACAAGTTATTTCTTAAATTCCAAACATTTTCTAAAATATTATTACAGCAGATGCCTAGGTTATTAAAACATAAAGGTGAAAATCATACTCTAAATAGTTAAATATGACACTGAAAATACTGCACATTTTAATTAGAGAAAAATTAAAATGTGTGCTCAAATGCTCTAACAAACTAGGTAGCAGGGCAACTAACAACTACAAATAAGTCACTGTGGTCCATTTTTACGTATGCATATATATGATTATTCTTTAGATAACCCCTCCTCTTGAAAATGCATAATTAAAACATAAAAATCCAGATAAATGATTTAAAGAAGTTTTAATTCTTCCTAACACCTAAGATCTATGGTGAAGTGTACTATTTATTATCAATGACTTCATACACTTACTAATTCAAATATAAAAGACACCACACTTGGAAAAAAGGAAAAGATTTTTTTTTAAGGTAATGGTTTTAATTGAATTAATGAGATGAAAAGATAGTGAAGCCCTGTTTGCTACTTACATGAAAGATTTTAAAAAATAATCACTGCACAAAATACAAAGGGTGGGGTTATGCTGTGGCATTAAATTTTTCTCCACGATATTTTCCTTGACTATTCAAGAACAAATTACAGTTTCCACGGCAAATTTGTTTTCAAAATGCCGAATTGTGATGCAATCCCTGGCTTCACGTTTCTGAATACCTGTTTGGGAAGAAAAAGTTTTTTTTAAGTTTTGCTTCTTTAGTAATAAATATTCACATAAACTTCATAGTTATTATATAGACATACAGAAGTATTTCACTCTATATTTCATAAGTTTCTATAGTTTGGATTTGTTTACACTTAAGAAAATAATTTTTCTCCCTTTTCTGAACTGAGTATCTTAGATCACAGCAACAGTAATAATGTCATACAAATTGCTTACAAATTTATGAACTTGAAGGTACTGAAAATGTTCTATATCTTGACTCTGGTGGTGTTTGCATGACCATGTGTGTCTCTGTGGAAACTCAGAACTGCACACTAAGAACGGTAAATTTCACTGTATACAGGCCTGACTTTTTAAAAAATATTATGAACCAAGAGAATTTTAAGCTGTAAGGAATCAAGTAGGTTCCAGATGACTCCTCAGCCTGAGGTGAGAGAACACCTAGCTAAGAAAAAGCTAGGAGATCACTTTTACTGAGTGACACAACTCCAAAGAAATCACACCATAGTACATTTGAATAGCACTTCTTACTTTCTGCAGCTGCTGCATGTACTTTCATTTTATTTTTACAAGGATCTTAAAAGGAAATGGGGAGATACAGGGGAAATAAGGGAAAATAAGGATAATAAATTATCCTTATTTTTCAGGTGAGGGGGAAAAAAAGTGATTTGGCAAAGCTACATCGGTTATGTCAACGCTCTTAATTGCTCACTCAAATTCCTAACTAACCTGACAGTGATTATTCTCATTGTGACCCAAAAGGCAAACAGCCTGCTTAGAATCCAGATCCCCGACAATACAGCTCAAGATGAGTCTCAAGAGACCCTCTGGATAGGAAGAACCCTTTCAACACGGCTGAACCGGAGGGGGAAAATGGGAAGTTGGGCAGGGTGAGTGACTGGAAAGTAAGGCACCAGCATTTCAATACAATGACATTTCATACTGACCCTTTTCTCTCTATCTGAAAAGAGTGGATTTAGAATTAAGACGAATTCTACAGAAATATGGGAATATTATGTTGTGATACAATGTAATTTTATTTTACCACTCATGGCAAGCATATTGGTAACAATGACTAGGCTTCACCTAAATTTAGTTTAACACAATGAACTTTTCTGCCAACACTTTAACATTAAAAAAGTATTACCTTTAACAGTTTCTTTGCGTTGGAGTTTGTAAGTTTCCTTGTCATGGCACAGTCGATAAATAAAGAAACCCAGGTGATCGACATTTTCAATGCGATCAGTAATAACCATGTGCTCATGAATCAGATATGACTGAGGCAAATAGGTTCCAGCCTACATTTATAAAAGAATGTATTACATGAACATCTCAGAACATACACTGAGCAGACTATAAAAACAGACAAAATTCTTAGAGATCATAATATTAACAGAAGTTGACAAAACAACTACCCACTATCTGTTTTTATAAATAGTTTTATTAGAATACTGTAATGCCTATTTGTTTACATATTGTCTTGGGCATCAGAATTAAGTAATTGGTTAATATTTACTCCCTGGCTCTTTAGGAAGACATAAACATAATTTAAAAATTACATTTTAATTTCAAAATATAAAACATTATAAAAGAAAAGAAGAAAAGAACCAAAAACCATTAGCATTTGTTCCTCTTTTTATAAAATTCTTAGCTATATTCTGGTAAAATGGTTTCCCACAGAGCTAGTTTCTCAACAGGGAATTCCAAGACACTATAACAGTATCATTAATCAAAAATATTAAACATTTTTATACCTTGATGTTAATAAGTAACTCCAACAGGTTTCTGGGTGGCATAACAATGGAAGTGTTCAGAGGGATCACATAGCACTTATCCAGATTAAGATCTAAATAGGCTGTGAGTTTCTGGGAAGAAAAAGATAAATTTTAGTTATACTAATATTTGTAAGACAGGCAGCAATTAGATTTTTAATAATAATGTGTATTATTTAAATGGGTTGGCTCTAGAATGTGTAAATCACTTGCATTTCAACAAATCAAAAATTTGTTTGGATAGGGGTGGAAGTAGTAATGGGAGAGAAAAAATTATTGCTACTCGTAAACAAAATGTTTACCAGGGGTTTGTTTCTATAATAAATAACAATATCTATTGAAATCAACTCTAAATACCTATCCTCTGATTGAGATAGGATTTATTATAGTTCCCTCACTTATAAGCCCAAATGCCCTCTAAAGCAGGCATCCTCAAACTATGGCCCACGGGCCACAATGCGGGTGTTTTACTTCAAAATAAGAAATGTGCAGTGTGCATAGGAATTTGTTCATAGTTTTTTTTAAACTATAGTCCGGCCCTCCAACGGTCTTAGGGACAGTGAACTGGCCCTCTGTTTAAAAAGTTTGAGGACCCCTGCTCTAAAGCATCCACCCATTGTAAGTAAAGATTAACTTTTCTCCTATGCATTCAGAATACAACTATCATTCTAACAGAACTGCAAAAATAGTCACTTAAATGCTTTTGAGGTCTATGGTTCAGATGAGAAACCCTGGTTGAGAAAGACTGTCTCACAGGATGGTTTTTAGGATTGAGTTAAACCAAACCATGTTAACACTTAGATTTCTAAGAGCTCAGAAAGTGTTAGCTATTATTTACTATTTGTTTTAGATAAAGTTTATTATCTTGAATAGAAAAAGTAATTTTTCAAACTGGTTTATAAACATTCATTAGGCATGAAATGTTTGCAAAGCTAACTTTAGTAATATGTTTGAGTGATCCAAACGGCAAGCTTATAGAAACATAAAAACCACAAGTAAGAGGTGAATTTCTGAATCTCTAAATCCTGATTTGAAAAAACAAAAAATTCTCAGGACAAAAATTACTGGGGACACTGAAATATAAACTGGCATTAAATAATATGGTACTTTCCCCTTTATCTGCAGTTTCACTTTCAGGGTTTCAGTCACCTGCAGTCCGAAAATAGGTGAGTTCAGTACAATAAGATATTTTGAGAGACCACATTCACCTAACTTTCTTTACAACGTATTGTGATAACTGTTCTATTTTATTATTAGTTATTGTTAATCTCTTCCTGTGTCTAATTTATAAATTAAATTTATAAATATGTATTATAGAAAAAGACAGTATTTATAGGGTTATACACAGGGTTCAGTACTATCTGTGGTTTCAGGTATCCAATGGGTATCTTGGAATGTTTCCCCCGCAAACAAGGGGGAGACTACTATACTATACAACAGCTGTCCAGAAAATATCTAGCCATGTAATATGAAAAATTATATTAACAATGGCTGGATACCTTCCAGACAGCCCTCTTATTGTCACATTAATTTTGTTAGATGTGATAGAGATGCTGTAGTTATGTAGGAGAATATTCTCATTCTTAAGAGATAACAGCTTAAGTATTTAGGAGTAAAGTGTCAAATGAGAGAAAAAGATGAAGGAAATACAGCAAAATTTTAGAACCTGCTGGAAGATTTTGAGTGTTCAATTCAACTTTTCTGTACTGCATAAGAATGTTCAAAAGCTGGGGAGAAATGTAGAATGAGAATTTAAAAACAGATTAACGAAATTCTTAATTTCTGAACATGCTATCAAAAAATGGGAACACAATTACCTTTTATCTAAGAAAATATGGGAGCATGTAAGAAATAACAGTAATTTGCCAGCAAAGGAGGAATAGGCATAAGGTGGGCTTAAGAGTAGACAAGGCAGGGGAAGAAAGCATAACAAGATGTAGGAAGACCAGACTGGGGGTCTGCTACAGAAAAGCAGAGCACACCAAATGTTGACAGTTGATCTTGTAGGGCAGAGAAACCCAAGTCCAGTTTTTAAAATAAAAACTAAACTCTAGATAGAATAAGTTAGCAAATATTGAAATTAAAACTACAAAAAGCATCAATGAAACAACTTGCATTATTTTAACAATTCTGGTCACTTGGTTCACCTTGTTAAAGTCATGAACAATGTTGGCAGGATCACTATCCGCAAACTCTGGGACAGGCACACTGATGAATTCAACCTCATCGTCTTCAAAGATCTTAATATTTTCTTCAATTGTCTGGTAGCGCGCAGCTGGGGCATCTGCAGAAGGCTCATTTAAGATGACATCATCTTTGATGTACTTTATTCCACAGTAGTACACGTCATCCGGCTATAGAGAGTTTAAACATTCATTTCATCAATTCAGCATGAGACAGGTTTTTAAATGTAAGCATTACTTAAGCTGCCACCTCTTTCTAAATAGCATTTTGCTTGCAAACTCTTACTTTTAGATGACAAGTCAGACAGTTTAATTACAGATTTAAAACATTCTTTAAGATCAAGTTTTGAAGTATTGTTAAAAATCAGCTGTAGAAGAAGGAGAAAAGCAGCTGATTTCCCATTTATTTTTTGTGGTAGATAAAAATAGAAAATAAAAGCAATTATCCATCTGGTGACAAGTAAATATGAAGAAATACATAGGTCTACTTCTACCTGTAAGCATGGTTTTCTTCTTTAATAAAAGAGTATGTTCAGAAGCTAGTAATATTTTTCTGAAAAAAATATACTTTAAAAACTTTTGAGGTGGTCCACTGATTAAATTACTCTTCTGTTACTATCCAAAAAAGGGATAATTTTTCTGACATTTCTACATGCATACAGGTAGTTCTGATACTCCTTAAACTATACCACAATTAAGTGGAAATATTAGATTACAGCAAATCTTAATAAATTGTCTCATTTTTATAAAAAAAAGTGTTTATATACACACAATAAAGATTAGGGGTATATAACAAACCATTTAATGCACCAAATGTTATTTCTGGACATGAAATTGCAGGTAATTTTTTCTCTATCATAAATATTTCTCATAAAAAACAGTATTTAAAAAGATGATTAATATTTTAGTAATGTCTACCAAAGTGCCATTATCTTCAATAATATATAAAATGAGTATGAAATTTATACATCCCAGGTAGAATGTTCCAAAACCAGTCATTTAAATTATTTTAATAAGTCTAGTTATCAACGGTTTCTCCAAATTTTGAAATGTTAAAACACTCGAAGTAGTCGTAAAAGCTTTAAAAGCAATTTCCCCCTCAAGATTTCTTAAGGAAAAAAAAATAAACCTACTGAATTATTGCCAAGAGAAATATACCACAAAACAGACCATAAAATCATAATTATCAAAAGGAAAATCTATGTCTTAACCCACTGGGATTACTATTAAACACTCTGAAGTTATAAACAACTTTCATCCTACATTAACTTCAACATTGATGCTGAAGTTACCTAGTTCTTTAGAGAAACCAATGACTGGGAAAGAGGTAGAGAGACACGGTGACAGTGTACTCTGGGTCTAAGAGCAAAAGGCTATCATGGGAGATCTCAAACTAGCCATCAAGTTACAGCCTACCAACTTGACAACATTTGTGGCTGATGCATTTCCAAACAACGATACTCTCCGTTTAGTGACTGCCTGCCTAATGGGCTGGCAAACATATGATGGAGAGATTTTAAACACAGCTTTAAAATAGGACTGCCACTATGGCTAAACACCACAGTTTGCACAAAAAAGGGCAAACTTAGAGCAAGTTAGGAATAATTTTGTAATATACATGAAGGAAAAGCAAAAACTAAAAATAAAAACAGTCAAAGATGAAAAACAATTTTCCACTTACTTGGAGTGCAAAATATTTGTACAGGTATGCTCCTCCTAAAATGACACCCGCAAGCATAAATGCTAGTCCAAAGCACATGCACCAACACCAGGCTCTTCTTTGGCCAACTGGTACCACATCATCTGGGTCCTAAAATATGAAAAAAAATCAGATAGTCAATATCATATCTCCAGGCAAAATCACAGAAGGCTCAGAATTAGAAAAATCTTATGGATTATTATTTTAATGAATGAAGACATAGAGACTAAAGGAGTTTGGTCTCTGATCAAAATCAACCTGGAACGATTAAATGGTGGCACCAGGACTCATCACAATGGCTCTTAGGTTGGGACACTGGTCCCTAAGCAAAGTTCTGCCTACTTCTAACTCTCAACAGTCCACCTGCTAACCATATCTGAAGCAATGGTACACTCCATCATTTCTATTTTCCATGCACAACTCTTGGTGATATCTCCTAACATTTAAAAAGTCAGAAAAGATTACAACACAACTTTGTCATATAATATCATGATGCTGAGCCTTGTATATTACAAATTCAGCGCATCTATCAGGATCACTTATAAAATTATGTGTCAGTCTGTTACACGTAGTTTATATTTCACATCAGTTAAAATAAAGCCATTCCAAACAATCCACAAGAAAAGGTAACAGGCAAATAAGATGGGACAGAACAAATAATGATACTAAAATTCTTTAAACAATTGGAATTTTTTTAAAAAAGGATGAAGTTACTTACCTAAAAGTAATCCTATAATTTCACTACCCTATTCTAAATCCCAGTTTGATAAAGTTCTTTACCTTTCTTAAGATAGGAGCAGTGGGAAAAATGAGAAGAGATTCAAAATAAAAACTTACTTATAAGGTCAAGAAACATAAAACTAGCATATATTTGTTACAGAATTTTGCTTTTGACTCACTTAGAAAAATAACTTAGCCCCAGAACATCATTTGGGGTCATGACATTCATAATTCCCTCCCTGTGCCCTTCTACTCCATCACTCTACTGTTACTTCAGAGTTATAGCTGATTTCTGATTTGTACCCAAGTTCACGTGTGAAGGGCTAAGAAAACAAAGGTGACTATACAACTAGTGGTTCAAGAAATATACAGACAGCAAAAGAAAGGCTTCAATTGACTTGAAACCATTATAATAAAAGGTGTTCTAGTTCATAGTATGCAAGTACAACCTCTTAAGTATATGATTCTATCCTTTACATGGAAAAACCCAATATGGGGTAGCTTAAGGGAGAAAGTACACTTGACCTAAACTTATGTAATAGGATATAAATAAAGTTAGGAAGAAAACCTGTATGAATGATGCACAAAAACAGTCTTAGACTAAGAGCGTGGACATGGTTGAAGCAAGAATTCAGTTACGAATGAAAGCTAAGGTGTTATGTTTTCAATTCTAAGATGAGGAATATTAACTTGATACCATTGGGAAAAGTCCTATCCCAAATGTCAAAGCAACCAAGAACAACAGGACACTAGATAGAGTGTTCCTAGGTTGCAGTTTTAAACATGGAATTTAACACTGAACAACAAATACTGCTTTATCTAAGGATCAGATCAAGCACTGTGAGAGCACTGCGCTTTGCTGTCGTACCTGTCAATATATTTTGTAAGATGAGTGCACTGCAAGGAAGTAATATGTAATGAGAAGAAGCCTAGAATAATTTATCAAGCCATGTAAGATATCCCATCTGTGAAAAGAAAGTTATTAAGAATTCCATGGAGTCATAAGGTATTACGAAACTTGAATGATAAAATATACACCTTATACTTGAGGCCCTTGTCTGACATAAATATCTAAGGAGATAAGAAATTATTCCTAACATAATTAATTTTAGGGCGGAGAGAGGGTGGGAGGGATGAAAATGACAGATGGAAGTAGTCATTTCCAACATTTGGTATCAGCTGCTGAGACAGCTAAACGTGCACACACACCCACCCTGTTTGGCAGGCTCTCTTTTCCAAATGTACATAAATGAATAGCTAAAGAGCATGGGCAGACACCTGTAAAAGAATACACAGCCCAAACTGTCAAATCAAAAACCACCTTCTGGGACGTTTGATATATTATTTTTAACTATTCAACAAACAATCACTTTGAGAATAAATTATAAATGTATATTATTTTTAACTATTCAACAATCACTTTGAGAATGAATTATAAATGTCTACTATGTGCCAAGCACTGTGTTGAGCCCTGAAAATATATCCTCTGCCAAGAAAGAGACTGGTTGGATCAGTCTGGAAAACAGATAAATATACAAAGAGAACATAAATATAAATGGGTTCTAAAAGAAAAATGCACAGAGAGCACGTAAGAGGGGACGAGTCTGAGGAAGACTTCCCAGGGGAGAAAATAACTCAAGTGGAATGTTAAAGGACAAATACTCATTACCCAGGCAGACTACAGAGCTAAAGAAAATTATATGTAAAGCAAAGAATGAATAAAACCATGGAGCCAGAATGCACGGCATTTCCAAGGGCCACATGCAGTATGGCGGGAATGCCCACTGTGGCAAGGAGGGGTGCGAGAGATGAGGACTGAGAAGCGATGGGGCAGATCACAAAGTGCCTTTGTAAATCATGCTGCAGAGTTTGATTTTCATGGTCATTTAGAAATCACTCCTCAGGACTATTACAATAAAAGAAAAAAATTCAACTGCTTGAAGAATTTACCTTATAAATACTTCACTTCTCTACAGGTCACTGACTCCGCACCTCAACAATGTGAAACATGGCTTAAGAATCAGGAAATAAGTCTCTGAACAGCCAAGTTATAGGCCCTGAGTCCATGCACCCCAATCACGTATTTTCATAAAAGAGCTATCAAATCTTTGAAGCCTGTGTAATCTTTTTTCCCTAAATTCCTAGGTGATCACTTTCTAACTTGCACTAGAACAAGTCACATATAGATCTTCTCTCTCTCTACTAGGCTGTAAGGTTCTTGTGAGTATCCACTCATACTCATTTTTCATTACTGGTGGTTCCAAGCCTCGTCTGGCACTTAGTTGGCACTCAAATATTTGATGAGTGAATGAAACTTAAATATTAAAAGAGAAAAGCTCAACTATTTAATTGTTTATGATTCACAAAAGTTACATCAGCAGCCAGCATAATGGAGGAAGGGGGTAAGGAATATAATTTATGACACAACACAAACTGTGGCTACTCAGCAAGGAACAACAGCCCAGAGTTCAACATTTATTAACGGCTTATTATTTGCAATGTACTGTGCTAGATCCTGTGGGAAAGTCAGATATGATTAATACATGGCTCATAACCGGAGCAACTGACAGTCAAAATTAACATTACATATGACAGATAAATGATGTCCCATAATACAATCTGAGTCATAGAAAAGAAAGTACATTTAAGATTTAAAAGTTTTTAACCTAAGAGATTTATTGAAGGTGTTCTTAAAATGATTACATTTTAACACTGCAAAGAATAAGTCTTATTTTAAAAAGCCACACATGTAAGATTTAAAAAGAAAAACCCCATGACCATCTCAAAATACACAGAAAATGAATTTGACAAAATTCAACTTCCATTCATGATAAAAGCTATTTGCTAACTAGCAGGAGGTGAAATTCTTGAACAACAGTAAGGTGAATGATCAAAACCCTACAGCAAACCTTATACTTAATTGTGAAACATTACACTTAAACTCTTTCAAGTCAGGAATACAGGGATGCCCACTAATATTGACTGATTTTTTTCACTCAACATTGTACTAGAGATCCTAACCAATATACAAATGACAAGAACATGATTAGGTATGAAGATTAGAAAAAAGTAAACAAAACTGTTATTATTTTTAAATGATCTATACAGAAAATTAAGTCAAATTATTCAAACTAATTAGAGTTCAGTAAGATTGCTAAAAAGCAATAATCAAAAATCAACTGAGTGAAAAATTTATACATAAATATTCATAGCACTATTACTCATATAATTGCCCCAAACTAGAAACAACTCGAAAAGCCATCAACTGATGAATGTATAAACTATGGTATATTCATACCATAAAACATTAAACAACAAGGAACAAAATAAAACATACAAGCAAAGCTGAATCTCAAAAACATGCAAAGTTAAAGAAGTACAAGACAAAAGACTACTCACTGTATGATTACATTTTTATGAAATTCTAGAAAAGGCAAAACCATAATGACAAAAAGCAGCTTAGTGATTGCCATGGGAAGAAGTTGGGGAAGGAAAGATTGATGACAAACAGGCACGAGGAAACTTTTAGGGTGATGGAACTGTTTCATATCTTGATTGTCAAGGTGGATACACAACTTCATATATTTAATAATTGCCATAAAGTCAATCAAACGGCATATACAAAATAGGTAAGTTTTATTGCATGTAAATTATATTTCAATATGGAAGGGAGGAAACTAATCAACTGAGTAACTATATATACCAGGCAATAAAAGAATGTCTTATACCAGCAAGTGCTGGAGAAAGTATGGAACAAAAGTAACTTGAGAACTTTAATGCAGCTAATGGAAGTTGGTTGCTTTAGAGAACAACTTGGCAGTATCTAATAAAACTAAACATACATACTATCTTAAGACCCAGCAATTCCATTCCCAGGTATGTAACTCTAGATAAACTTTCGTACATGTGCATAAAGAAGTATATCCAAAAATGTTCACTGTATTGTCAATAACAACAAATTGGAAATAACCTAAATGTCCTTCAAGAGAATAAAGTATTATAGATTCATATACAATTCTATTAAAACATTCAACTAGCACGGTTGATTTTTAGACCAATCTAAGAAACATAATTGCTGACCCCCCAAAAAAGAAAGATACACAAGATATACAACTATGTTTCAGTATATGTAAGTATCTGATATTTTAGACTTTAAAAACATAAAACATACTATAAATTCTCTATATTTTTGTATGCTTGAGATATTTTATAATTAAAGAAATTGAAAAAATAATAAGTAAGAGCTTCTACTCTGGGGTATATAACTTTACCTGGCCCAATTTAAAACAATTCACTGAGACATTTCCTCCCCTTGTACTGCAATAAAACTGGTGCACCTTGAATTGTGCTTGTAAGATAACAGAACTCCCGCAAGTGCTGTACCATTATCA